TTGCACTAATTTACAATTCTATCAGCAATGTATGAAAACCGCCTTTGTGCTATAACCCAGGGCTGTTTTGACATCACAGTAGGATGTCCAGGACTCTAGCCGTTCTCCAGCTCCAGATGAAAACCAGTCAGACAGATAGCCACTCTGAGAGCCTGCAGGTGTAAATTACACAATTTTGCTAATTGCCTTGTAAAAGCACCTTTTCTGGATTCTGAAGAAAGGTATCCTGCATTGGTAGGTGAATGCACTGTTATCACTAAAAATAACACTGTCCCAAGTATCTGAGATATTTTGTCCCTGGCCTGAGAGAAATCTATTTCATAAAGCAATTTCTCTACTTACAATTAAACATACCAGGCTTTAAATTATACCACGAAATTGTGCTTCAAGAAAATACCAACCCTACATGGACTTCAGGTTGATTTAAGAAGCAAGACTTTTGGTATGAACATGGCTACATAAGTAAGTAGCCTTCTGTCTTTTACCCCATTTTACCCCCTTTTTGCCCTAGAAATCATACAAAAGCAAAGGGAGAATTATAAACCAAACTGATATGGTTGGGCTCTGTGTCACCACCCAAATCTCATCTTGAATTATAATCCCCGGAATTCCCACGTGTCAAGGGCAGGAACTGGTGGGAGGTGATTGCATCATGGCGGAGGTTTCCCTCATGCTGTTCTTGTGATAGTGAATGGGTTCTCATGAGATCTGATGGACTTATATTTGACCTTGTTTCTTACAACTACGCTTCTCTCTCCTGCCACCTTGTGAAGTAGGTGCCTGCTTCCCCTTCCGCCATGATTGTAAGTTTCCTGAGACCTCCCCAGACATGCGGAATTGTCAGTCAATTAAACCTCTTTCAGCAATTAAACCTCTTTATGGCAGCATGAAAACAGACTAATACACACACAAATCATTGTTTCCACGGAACTTGGAGACAGATAGATTCCATATTTTGAAGTACATGGAACGTGCGTAATGGGGTTCAATAGGGTTTTTCACCTCCAAATCTCATGTTGAAAACTGATCCCCAGTCATTCAAGAGGGCTCTGCCCCCAGGACCCCAGGACTCCCCAATCACCTTCTACCAGGTCTTGCCCTTGACACGTGGGGATTACAATTCAAGATGCGATTTGGGTGGGGACACAAAGCCAAACCATATCAGTTTGGTTTATAATTCTCCCTTTGCTTTTGTCCTTGGAACCTTGAATAAATGGTTCCAAGTCATTGATGAACAGAACCTGTCACCTCTTCCTTCTCTGTCTCAGCACACACTCCCCTTCACCTTCCACCATGAGTAGAATCTACCTGAGGCTCTCATCAGAAGCAGATGCTGGTACCATGCTTCTTGTATAGCCCGCAGAACTGTGAGTCAAACAAACTTCTCTTTATAAGTTACCCAGCCTCGGTTATTCCTTTTTCCTTTTCTTCAATTTTTTTTTTTTTAGAGACAGGGTCTTGCTCTGTTGCCCAGACAGGAGTAAATTGGTGCAATCAAAGCCCACTGCAGCCTCCAACTCCTGGGCTCAAGTGACTTTTCTGCCTCAGTTTCCTGAGTAGCTAGGACTTCCCAGGAAGGAAATGGTACATCTCAATCCACTGCCACGTGACTAGCCTGAGCTTAACCACGTCACATCCAAATAGAAGTTTTAAATGCAATTGCAGGGTTCTTCTCAGATCACTTGCTCTTCCCCTTTGTCAAAAGTATGGGCAGGCCAGGTGCCGTGGCTCATGCCTGTAATCCCAGCACTTTGGGAGGACAAGGTGGGAGGATCACTTGAGGCCAAGAGTTCCAGATCAGCCTGGACAGCATAGCGAGACCCCATCTCTACAAAAAAAAAATGTTAAATGGCTGAACATGGTGGTGAGTCAAACAAACTTCTCTTTATAAGTTACCTAGCCTTGGTTATTCCTTTTTTCTTTTTTTTTTTTTAACTCACTACCTACATTACCAACCACTGGGGAGGCTAAGCAGGAGCATCGTTTGAGCCCAGGAGTTCAAGGCTGCAGTGAGCTGTGATTACATCACTGCACTCCAGCCTGGGTGACAGAGCAAGACTCTGGCTCAAAGAAGGAAAGTATGCACACATCTCACACTGAGGATATTTCTGCAGCCTGGATCCCAGAGTGATGTGATACATTGTACAGAGACCTGATGAGTCACAGTAGTAACCCACATAAAACATGGCCAAAAGTTACTGTTGGTATAGGCCAGTGAGATTTGAGGTTGCTTGTTGCATGGCAAATTGGTCAATACAGAAATAATCCACATGTGCAAATTTTGGGAAACGTTGGGTTTTTAACTATCTTTCTCATTGTCAGGAGATTTTCTCCATGTTAAACTTAGAATGCAATACTTAATTTCATTTACTGATTTCACAAACACTTTTATAGCAGTTACTGTATGCCAAGAACTATGCCAAACAATTTGCAAAAATTAATTAATTGAATCATCATTAAACCTCCTACGGTAGGCTCTCTTCTGGCGCCCATTTCACTGATGTGGAAACTGAGACAGAGAGAGGTCAAGGTCACACAGCAGGTAAGCAGCAGTGTCAGAGGTCAAACGTACACTGTGCGGCCCTAGAGTCCACGTCCTTAACTGCTACGCTATGCAATGATCATGACCATTAATATTTATTGACTATAATTTGTACTTAGCATGCTCAATCATATTTGATTCTCATAACCCCAGGAAGTTGGGGGAAGAATTGACACTCAGAGATTTAAAGTTACTTGCCCAATGTCACACAATGACCTGGATGGCAACAAAGTCCATGCTCTATTAAAAAAAAAGAAAAGAAAGAAAGAAAGAAACCAGGCTGGACAAGGTGGCTCACGCCTGTAATCCCAACACTTTGAGAGGCCGAGGCAGGTGGATGACCTGAGGTCAGGAGTTTGAGACCAGCCGGGCCAACACAGTGAAACTTCGTCTCTACTAAAAATATAAAAATTAGCCAGGCGTGGTGGCAGGCGCCTGTAATCCCAGTTACTTGGGAGGCTGAGGCAGGAGAATCACTTGAATCTGGGAAGCGGACATTGTAGTGAGCTGAGATTGTGCCATTGCACTCCAGCCTGCGCAGCAAGAGCAAAACTCCATCTCAATAAAGAAATCAATCAATCAATAAACAAAAAAAGTAACCTTCAAATAGTAATATAATCAATCAGCTTAATTCTTCCTATTCAAATCTGATGGGCAGAGATGTATCAACTGAGTCTTTACCACCACTCTGTTTCCAAGAATTTGTTCATGCTCACCACCACCACTATCCTTAATAAATGTTTTTTGGATATCTACTTTATCACAGACATTAGGCAAGGCTTCCCATGCCTCAGTTAAGACTGGAGAAATCGGCTCACTCTAACTAGGTCTTGAGGTGCTGAAAGGTAAAATAAACCAACACCCCTGTGGACAGAGGAGCATCCGGTGCCCTGGTCAGGTAGCTCTCACTTGGGGACAACAGTTTTCACCAGATTGCATAGCAGCCAGCTGCCCCAGAAAGTGACAGGCCCAGAAAACACAATATTCCCGTCCTCCTCCTGTTTCATTATCACCCGGGAGAGCGTCGGCATGCAAGGAGCAGTGTAAAATGGACAATTCACACACCTTCCGCGTTTCTCCACAATGTCAGTCCCTGCTGTTGCCATGGCCGCTACGGTCTTCTCACAAGAAGAAGAGTATTAGACAGGGACCAGCAGGGAAGCACACGCCTACAGACACATGCCTGTGCTCACAAACACACATACGCGTGCACACACGAACACTCCCTACATCCCTTCTCCACGCCCAGGTGGCAGGGAAACTGGAAAAAACAGAGAGATGGTGAGCCTTTGAACGTCTCCTCTTTTCTGGGAGCCTTGAGAAGACCAACTTTTTTTTTTTTTTTTTTTTTTTTTTTTTGGTGGAGTTTTGCTCTTATCACCCAGGCTGGCGTACAATGGCACAATCTCGGCTCACTGCAACCTCTGCCTCCTGGGTTCAAGTGATTCTCCTGCCTCAGCCTCCCGAGTAGCTGGGATGACAGGCGCCCACCACCACGCCCGGCTAATTTTGTATCTTTAGTGAAGAGGGGGTTTCTCCATGTTGGTCAGGCTTTTTTGTTTTGTTTTGTTCTTTTGAGACGGAGTTTTGCTCTTGTTACCCAGGCTGGAGTACAATGGTGCGATCTCGGCTCACCGCAACCTCCGCCTCCCGGGTTCAGGCAATTCTCCTGCCTCAGCCTCCCGAGTAGCTGGGATGACAGGCGCCCACCACCACGCCCGGCTAATTTTGTATCTTTAGTGAAGAGGGGGTTTCTCCATGTTGGTCAGGCTAAGACCAGCTTTTTTGTTTTGTTTTGTTCTTTTGAGACGGAGTTTCGCTCTTGTTACCCAGGCTGGAGTGCAATGGCGTGATCTCGGCTCACCGCAACCTCCGCCTCCTGGGTTCAGGCAATTCTCCTGCCTCAGCCTCCTGAGTAGCTGGGATTACAGGCACGCACCACCATGCCCAGCTAATTTTTTGTATTTTTAGTAGAGACGGGGTTTCACCATTTTGACCAGGATGGTCTCGATCTCTTGACCTTATGATCCACCCGCCTCGGCCTCCCAAAGTACTGGGATTACAGGCTTGAGCCACCGCGCCCGGCCTAAGACCAGCTTCTTCAAGTCCTCTTACAGCAGCCGTCACCAGACATTTTGGCACCAGGGCGAGCCTTGTGGAAGGCCGTTTGTCCACAGACAGTTGCGGGGACGATTAGATTCTCACTCTGCGTCTCTGGCAGGCCTTTCCTGCATGTCACACATTATCAGGAGTACTGAAGACCGGAAGGTGACGGGCGATACTGTACAGCAGCCGTCCCCAACCTTCTGGGCACCAGGAAGCAGTCTCGTGAAAGACAATTTTTCCACAGATGGGGTTGGCAGGGGCGGTTTTGAGATGATTCAAAAGCATTACATTTCTTATGCACTTTATTCCCCTTATGATGACACTGTAATAGTGAAATAATGCTACAACTCACCATCATGTAGAATCGGGGGAAGCCCTGAGCTTGTTTTCCCGCAACTAGACGGTCTCACCTGGGAGTGTTGGGAGACAGCGACCGCTCACCAGGTATTAGGTTCTCACAAGGAGCGCCAGCCTAGATCCCGCGCAGCCTAGATCCCGCGCAGCCTAGATCCCGCGCATGCGCAATCCACGGTAGGCGCTGTGCTCCCACGAGAATCTAATGCAGCCACTAATGTAGCAGGAGGTGGAGCTCAGGCAGGAATGCGAGCCTCGAGCCTCGAGCCTCGGGGAGTGGCTGTAAATACAGATGTAGCTTTGCTCACTTGCTCGCCACTCACCTCCTGCTGTGTGGCCTGGCTCCTGGCAGCTTATGGACCGGTATCAGTCCACAGCCCAAGGGTGGGGATCCGTCTTACAGCACAAGTGGCTCCAGGGGAATCTTTGTCCAGTTTCTTCCTTCACTGTCAAACAAACTACTTCTGGAATACAGAGGTCTAAGGGCCCTCCAGGCCTCATCTGATACACCTGCCACCTTCAGGCAGCGCACAGCCGCTGATGATAATATGGGCTTTTTTTCATTCCTGCTCACCCAGCTCTCCTGAAGCCTCCTGGTACCCAGGGAAATCTCAGGCCCTCTAAGACCTTTGAGGGACGCTTGCCTTTAAATGGGGAGAATTGAGGAGCTCCATTTCCATATTCCGAGCATTTGGACGTCAGTCAGTCCTCTGAACAGGTGGCCTCATTCTCAAAACTGAGCTTTGTCCCCACTGACACCTGCACCTGAGCCTCTGGCCATCTGGACCTTGTTTTGGTGAACTACTCCCCGGTGATAAACACCTATTCCTCTAGGACAAAGAGGAACCATGCTTTGAGGTTGGTGTTTGTTTGTTTATTTGTTGTAGAGACAGAGTCCTCCTTTTTCACCCAGGCTGGAGTGCAGTGATGCAATCATAGCTCACTGCAGCCTTGAACTCTTGTGCTCAAGTGATTCTCTGTCATCAGCCTCCCAAATAGTTGGGCTACGGGTGCACACCACAGTGCCTGGCTAATTTGGTGGGGAGGGCAGGGGTTTGGTAAAGATTGGGCCTCACTATGTTGCCCAGACGGATCTTGAACTCCTAGGCTCAAGTGACGCTCCCACCTAGTCCTCCCTAGTAGCTGAGATTAAAGGTGTGAGCCACCATACCTGGCCAACCACCATGCTTTTGCTAGTCTTCCTTTTCAAGGCCAAGTCTCCCGTCATACAAATCCAACTCTAAGCTTGACCCTGGCTTTCTACATTGATGCCACCAAATGTCTCATCTACCTCACTGATCTTCAACACAATCCATCACCATTTGGGGGGGGTGCTGATTACTTATTGCTGAATCAGTCATTTCCTATCAGTCATTGATCATATTACTTGGTCCTATTATAACACATTTCTTACTGTAATGGAAATTGGGGGTTACAAATGCCCCCACCAGCCCCTCGAGTCCTTTTGGGCAAGTACCACATAGGTAGTGCATCTTATTCATCTGTGTATCCACAGCAACAAGCCCCCAGAGAAAGCTCTCAGCTAGTAGCTGCTGAAAGAACACCGATCACCTGCCATGGCCATCTGGCATTCTCAGCTGGGTGACCAAGATTCAAAGGGCTAGGAAGCTCAGGTCAGCCCAACAGAGTTACCATCAAGAAGCTAAAAGACACACTGCCTCACAAGCCCAGTTGAGATTTTGCCTTTTTCTGTCTCTGTTGCTATGGGAATAGAGCTCCCCATATGTGGCAGAATCATATGAGTATTTCTTCCAAGTAGCATCTCTGAGTGAAATTCCCATTGCAAGGATTAAGCCTTTCTCTCCCAGGAAGCTTTAGATGCCATTTAGATCCTCTAGGATTCAGAGGATCCTAGAGTCTGAAGAGAAGGGAGAGAAGACCATCTCCCTATTCCCTTGAGCCACCCCAACCCCACACCCCACGTTCATCATCTCTGTCTTCCTTCCTCTCCAGCACAAATCCTCAGAGAGCCAAGTGGCCTCTCAGGATCTTCTTATAAAGATAGACCTCTGGCCAGGCAAGTGGCTCATGCCCATAATCCCAGCACGTTGGGAGACTAAGGAGGAAGACCATTTGAAGCCAGGAGTTTGAGACCAGCCTGGGCAACATAGCAAGATCCCATCTCTATTGACAAGAACAGTCAAAACAAAACAAAACAGGAAGATAGACCTCTGATCTGTGCAAAGGAGAGTAACAAAATCACCTCCATGTTAAGGGAACAGCTGAAGCAATTTATCTGCTCTATAACCACAATAGAGTCAATATAATTTAAAGGAAAAAAGATGGCCTAGATGAGGGATATCTCTGAGGAAGAAAGAAGCAAGCATTTATTAAGCATCTACTTTGTGTAAAGTGTTATATTGGTTGGGCTCTGTGTCCCCACCCAAATGGCATCTTGAATTGTGATCCCCATAACCCCCACATGTCAAGGGCGGGACCTGGTGGGAGGTGATTGGATCACCGGGGCAGTTTCCTCCATGATTTACAAGTGAGAGTGAATAAGTTCTCACGAAATCTGATGGTTTCATTTTATAAGTGTCTGACATTTCCTCGTACATACACCATCTCTGTTGCCTACCACCACATAAAACATGCCTGCTTCCCCTTCCACCATGACTAAGTTTCCTGAGGCCTCCCCAGTCACGCAGAGCTGTGAGTCCATTAAACCTCTTTTCTTTATAAATTACCCAGTCTTGGGTATTTCTTCATAGCGGTACAAAAATGGACTAATACAATGTACTTTCTCACTTAACCTGCAGAGCAATTCCATGCAATAAGTATCACTACCTCCATTTACAGACGAAACGATGGAGGCTCAGCTATCTCAAGCGACAGTCAAGTTATAAAGCCAAGACTGGAACTTAGATTTTCTGAATCCCAATGTAGTGCTCTTTATACTATATTGGAGCCTCTCCCACACATAATGAGCATGTGTTATGCTAACTGAGACTTTCACTTTTGATTTCATTTTCAGTGCTCCAAATAAGTTACCTTTGGTTTGCTCTGTGGCCCCTACACCTTCCTGTATTGCCAAAATAGTCAAAATATGGGAAGACGACAGGTGAGTTGGGAAAAGATCAGCCATAGCACATAATTAATCCCAGATACGGTTTCGCCGTGTCCCCAGCCAAATCTCACCTTGAATTGTAGCTTCCATAATTCCCACATGTTATGGGAGGGACCCGGTGAGAGAGAATTGAATCATCGGGGCAGGTTTTTCCTATATTGTTCTCGTGGTAATTAATAAATCTCACAAGATCTGATGGTTTTATAAGGGGAAACCCCTTTCACTTGGTCCTCATTCTTGCTTGTCTGCTATCATGGAAGACGTGACTTTCGCCTTCTGCCATGATTGTGAGGCCCCCCAGCCGCATGGAACTGTGAGTCCATTAAACCTCTTTTTTTCTTATAAACTACCCAGTCTCACGTATGTCTTCAGCAGCAGCATGAGAACAGACTAATACAGTCCCTTGGTCCTCAAATATTGGCGGGTTTGGGGCTGCACTTCTGACCTCCCTGCCAAGTCTGCAGGCCAGTGGCATCAATATGCCAGCAAGGGTTTTAAAATCATCTGTTCTTATTTTAAGTCAGCATTTTCTGAGAATGAGACTTCTGGATAAAATTGCAACCAAGTATCAGACAGGACTCAAAATGGAAAGAAAAAAAAAAGAAAAGAAAAGAAAGCCATTTTAGCGGTGTTTAAATCCTGCCTGCCACTGAAATGCTACCTTTCTCAACTTGAGTCCTGTGGGAAACAAAGGGATGGATAAAGGGCAAGAGAGGGGATGTGTTTTCTGTTCGATTTGGAGGTAAACGTTTCCCCAGCCCCACTCTCGAGTCTCAGCGTACATTTCCATTCTGCCCTATCCAAAGGCCACCAGCTATGCTGATTATAAAACAGTGATTCTCAAAGTGGGGTGATCCCAGGCCAGCAACATCATCATCACCTGGGAACTTGTTAAAACTGCAAATTTGGGGGCTGCACTCCAGGGCCCCACTGCATCAGAAAGTCGGTAGCACCCACTGAGATGTATCTTTTAGACAGCCCTCCAGCTGGTTCTGGAACACTCTTGATTAAACACTCTTGATTTGAAAGGCTGGTTCTTTTTTTCTTTTTCACAGACAGGGTTTCACTCTGTCACCAGGCTGGAGTGCAGTGGCACCATCATAGCTCACTGGCAGCCTTGACTTCATGGGCTCAAGCCATCCTCTTGCCTCGGCTTCCCAAGTAGCTGGGACTATAGGCATGCACCACCATGCCTGGCTCATTTTTTTATATTCTGTAAAGAGAGTCAGGGGGTCTCCCTGTGTTACTCAGGCTGGTTTTGAACTCCTGGCTTCAAAAGATCTTCCTGCTTCGGCCTCCCAAAGCGCTGAGATTACAGATGTGAGCCACCGCACCCAGCCTCTAGGTTGGTTCTCTTACTCTCTGAACATGTTCTCTCTCTCCAGCCCTCCACCTGTCCTTTTATTTCCCACAGGCCTTGGGTTGAAAAAGTTTGCATCCTAGTGACAGGTGAGATTTAAACATTGCTGAAACTGACATTTGGCTTTTTAAAATTACCAATCCTATCTGATACCTGATTGCAATTTTCTCCAGAGGTCCCACTCTTGGAAAATACTGACTCAAAACAAGAACAGATTATTTAAAAATGCTTGCTGGCACACTGGTGCCACTGGCTGGTTCGGACTGACTAATTAATCCCGATTTGACCTGAATGAATGCCTAATCTGTGTAAAATGATGGAGATTTACTGGAATGCGGCAAATGTCAGAGTATGAAAACCAAAGGCACGTGTGAGTAGATTCAACAACAGGGCGGCATGAGGATCACGGCACTTCTTCAGCTGGCACATTATTTGAAGTTTGATTTTTCTTCCTCTCTCCCCTCCACCCCCACCTCCTCCAAGGGGAAAAAAAATTACCAGAAGACATGAGCATATTGTCTCCTTTTCTCCCAAATAAAGGTAAACTGACAGCGCTTTCAATGAAAGCTTCTGTGTGATTGGAATTAAATGTCAAATACGATTTTCTGTTGGCAATTCAAAGTGTTGGTGTCAAAACCAAAACTGACAGCATGGCTGCAGATTAGTATCTGTCTGGATCTCGG